TTTCAGCTAATGAACCTCTTTTGAAATTTGCTTTGAAAGATGATGATCTGTCTTCCCATAGAGTTGGCTGAGGGCATGCCTGTACATGTATCCCCTCATTCTGTCTGTTTGAAGATGGCATAGTTTCTCAGTGCTGTATATTCTGTGGGCTCTTTCTGTCAACCACTGCAGGATATTGATTGCTGAGCATTTCTGTAATGTGCTGAGTCGCTATTTTCTGTCATTGGGAATTAATATGTTTGATGCTTTTAAAGGGTCAAAGCAATGGTCAATCCTTGATCCCAGGGGCTGGTTAGCTCAAGTAGCTGCACAGATGGTTCATGATGCAGAGCAATGCCAACAGTAGGGGTTCAACTCCTGCACAGACTGAGGTTACCACAAAGGTCACAGCCTCTCCCCTCACCTGAGGCATGACTATTATCCCAGAAAGGGCTATTACGAGGGGGCATAATCTTAAAGTGATTAGAGGAAGGTATAGGGGAGATGTCAGAGGTAGGTTCTTCACACAGTGAGTGGTGGGTGTGTGGAATGTGCTGCCAGCAGTGGTAGTGGAGTCAGATACTTTAGAGACATTTAAGCGACTCTTGGATAGGCACATGGAGGATAGTAAAATGTAGGGTATGCAGGGTAGGTTGATCTTAGGTCGGCAAAACATTGTGGGCCGAAGGGCCTGAATTGTGCTGTACTGTTCTATGTACTATGTTCTTCTGAATCCTCTTGCTGTTCTGAAGCCAACACCCCACTGGGTGAAAAGCTCAGCTCATTTTTCGCATTATTCTGTATCCAGTGGGGAAGGACCCAGCTCAGTTTTTGATACAAAAAAAACCCATTCAGCCAATTAATGAAAGTCTCAGCAGCATGGTGGCTGTAAAGTAACTGGAAGAAGGGCAAACTACAAAGGCCTGAATTAAAATACCATCGGAGGGGGAGATGATGCATCAAAGCCCTTGGGGTGCTCACCTCTGTGCCTCCTGTCTAGGGAAACCCAGGCACCTCTAATTCTTATTCACAGCTCCAAACCAAAACTGACAAAAGAATGAAACTAAAAGGAATGAAAAATTAACAAGGGTTCTGACACTCACAACAAGTCACATCTTGCTGACCATAAAAAGACCCAATTACCTTCACTGTCGGCTTTCTCTTAGTGAGCCAATTTTCTATCCAAACTAATAAATTACCCCATCCCCCTTTAATATACCCATCAGTCTGTTCCCCCTCACTCTCCACTCCCTTTAATACTCCACCCAGTCTAATCCCACCCTCCCCGTCACTCCCCACTCCCTTTAATATCCCACCCAGCCTAATCCCACTCTCCCCCTCACTCCCCGCTCCCTTTAATATCCCACCCAGTCTAATCCCACACTCCCCCCTCACTCCCCGCATCCTTTAATATCCCACACAGTCTAATCCCACTCTCCGCCTCACTCCCACACAATTTAATGTCCCACTCAGTCTAATTACACTGTCCCCCTCACTCCCCGCTCCCTCTAATATCCCACCCAGTCTAATCCCACTCTCCCCCGCCCTCCCTGCTCCCTTTAATATCCCACCCAGTCTAATCCCACTCTCCCTATCACTCCCCGCTCCCTTTAATGTCCCACCCAGTCTAATCCCACCCTCCCCGTCACTCCCCGCTCCCTTTAATATCCCACCCAGTCTAATCCCA